TGTTATGCTCTCCTATACATCCGAGTGTATAACTGTTCTGGTCACGAATTGTCGGCAGGCTCTGGTGCTGCTCATCTAGCTTCCGCCCGACTTGAAAGGGACGGTGAACGTAGGAGGACACTCTTGAGAAGGGCTCGCTATGGGCAGGGAAGAACCGCTGTAGATACAGGTCCAAGGACAATTTACGAATCACCTACAGATACAATACCAGCCCTCTCTTTGCCTCTACGCCTGGAACGCGATTCTACAGCATACAAGACAGAAATGCCGGCTCACTTTGCACGAAAGTAGCAGCATTAGCATCGGATAGTATATTACACGAGGCGGTATGTTCGATCAAGACAGACAAGAAGCCAACCGTGTGTTTCTTATGCGTTGGGAATCCGAATCTAACAATGCATGAGAGGGTTGTGTCATATGCAAACCCTGGTTCTTTAAGTAGGCACTTTCTGAGGAAGCACGTCAAGAAGCTAGAAAAGGGTAATCATGTTGAATGTCGGGTTTGCAATATCAGCCTCAAAGATCGAATTGCCTTACTCATTCTTGCTGAGAAGTCACACTGAACTATCTCACGAGGTCCAGCTGAGAGATTGATCAGGTCTGTCGCATAACCTGTAACTATATGTGTTAGCGCATCGGATACAGCCTGGAATGGCCATGGTGCTTAGAAAGGACATCGGATGAGAGCAAGGTGTCGCCCACTAGAATAGAAGAAAAACTAGTTATAGATAACTATTAAGGGTGAAGAATTAAACTATGCACACTATTCAATATTAGATCCTGCTCCTTTAACATAATCGCCCCCTCTTATTCTGGCAATTGATTTCCTTAACCAAGCCTAGAAAAACACTACATTATACCACATCCTAAAAATTTCCTGCCCCACCTCGGACAACGGAATCAGGACCGTCGATGCAGATGTTTATGACCTTGACAAGCTGAAATGTCGCTTCAGACTTGCTCAAATTTCAAGTCTAGCATTTGGGCTTTGAACCTGGTGCTGTAGAATTCATGCGACGGTGGGATATACATTTTCAACCCACTTCACTGAATTAGTACACATTTCCTCCTCCTAGATTTTCGTTCTTGAACAGGATTAGTGCGAAGTCTCGGTTTTCGTGTCAAGGGGCTCTCCTTATAGCCTCTATAATAGATTTGTGACCTTCAATCTCGGCTTTCTCTAAGGGCGACAATCCATAGTTGTCTGGAATCTTATGATTGGCATTCCGACTTAGTAGCCACTTGACAGCATTGAGATGTCCACGAGCCGAGGACTGCCAAAGCGCTGATCTACCTTCGAGGTCTCGAGGATTGATATCTACTGTTCCTGATTCAAAAAGTTTGTCTAAGACAGAAACATGGCCTGATTGTGCAGCTAGCCAAAGCGGGGTTCGACCAGCGAAATCTGGTATATCGAGCTCGGCATTGCTTTTTGCTAATAACAAAACGATAATTGAAAGGTTCCCTTGACTCGCTGCAGTATGTAAAGCATATAAGTACCAGCCACCAGGGACATCGGGTTTCATGCCGCTGTCTAGTGCTGAAGCAACTGCGGAATCGTGACCTTTTTGGACATTAGAATGAAAAGATTTTATCTTAGAAGCACTGTTAAGTAACATCGTGACAATCTCTTCAATGTAGAGAGTTTGCACGCGATGGCCATCGGCGAAGTTTGGATGAAGATAACTCGAGTCTGCTTTATTTTCAAGGAGCAGCTGGACAATTGCTTGATGGCCCTCTAATGCTGCAGCTTGGAGAGCGTTGCCATACTCNCCCGCCTTGAGCGTTGACTTCAGCTTGGTTGTCAAGGAGCAGCTGCACAATTGCTTGATGGCGTCCAGATGCTGCAGCTTGGAGAGCGTTGCCATAGGCCCCGCCTTGAGCGTTGACTTCAGCTTGGTTGTCGAGGAGTAGCTGCACAGTTGCTTGATGGCGTCCAGATGCTGCAGCTTGGAGAGCGTTGCCATAGTGCCCGCCTTGAGCGTTGACTTCAGCTTGGTTGTCAAGGAGCAGCTGCACAATTGCTTGATGGCGTCCAGATGCTGCAGCTTGGAGAGCGTTGCCATA